ATTCATCATTAACCTGCACTCATACTCCAGGAACCTGTGGTTAGTATCTTGCCCAAGGATTCGAGGGATCGAACCACCAACTATCCAACCAGGAGCCTGCTCTGCTACACCCTTCTTTCACGTTTCATGTGCAGCTAGTCAGAGCTAAAACAGGAATATCATTAATGACATTTAGTTGAAGAAAACCCAAACAAAAGCCGAGCTTCCCCATCGTTTGATCGGATGAGAACTGAGGCAGCCTTTTGCTTCGGACTGGGGAGTCCTCACGCCCGCTGACAGTTGCTCTGTTACACGGCAGCCTACTTTCTGTTTTTCATGCTCCCCTGAGTAGGTCTGATGAGATATTTTTAGCCTGCTGCACACAGCTGAGCTTCACTTAAGAGCAAGTCTGGGGTGAAATCACCAATATTCTAATATATACACAAAGACTTGAGCTGATCTGCAGCACTCGCAGTGATACACAAACTGTGGCTCCCTCACTGATAGATCAGACTGGAGTTATAGGCCATCCTGGGTTAAACACAGCTTTCCACGTGCAGATGCATCAATACCATAATAAAAACATTAAATAAAATCAGATTAGTGAACTTTAGTGCCTGCATATGGAACCCCCACCCCTACATGAATGTTGACAGCTTTCTATGCGTTTCACCTTTTATTGTTTCGAGGTTTCAACTGTTCTTCTACAAAATGTGACTTAAGTTCTGGTGGATGAATCATACCAGGACCATTTCCATCCACGTGCAAAGCATCATAAACTAATGTGTGAACAAACGTTCAGCTTCACATATCTGATTGTTCTTGCTTCCAGAAAGCTTGGTGGGCATGCAGAGTCCAACTACACCACCTGTTAAACACATGGACACACACAGGATTCTGAGACCAGCAGCCTGAGCTCTACACAGATTCACAAGTAAACACAGAACCTCCTGAACCTGGTCTCTAGTTGCCTGTTTGTAGGATGCATGAAGTGCAGCTTGCAGTCTGCAGGCGGCGGGCGCCCTCGGCATGAGAAGCTGTCTAAGTGATGGCAGACACACGAGGACGTGCACTTAGGGATACCGAGTCATCACTTCTGTCACACGAACAGCTCACTGGTCATTCAAGTCCTAGACCATGTGGGTCAGTCAGGACCTGAAGGAGCCGTGGACACAATGAGACCACGTCGTGTAGAGCTGTACACGCTGCACGAGGCTCTGCTTTGTGTTACAGCATCTTCCTTTTGTAACGCACTACGTCTCTCTTTATCCACCTCTTTCATGTGTGTCCTTAGGAAGGCTGCTGTGTTAAGCCTGTGACACTGAATGCACACACACACCTCTGACGGAGCACTTTACTGATGCGACCCTATAAAACCAGGACTGAGGGGTCAGGGGTCACGGCTCGTGGGTTTTGGAGTGTTAGGAGTGCTTGTGTGACGCTGTGTCTGAGCGCTGATCACAATCAACAGCACAAACACTCTAATATACTTCAACACCTACATGACCCCGCAGACTATATTTAGCTTCCCATCTCGTTGTGTTTCCATGGGGATGAAGAGTTCACATCGAGCGGCTGGGCCTCGGGTATTTTCCAGAAGCAACAACAAAGGGCTCCTGAACCAGAGCTTTCCCACAGCCGGTGGGTCTTCAAGTGATCACTTCCACTCCGGTGAGTCCAAGCATCACTGGGTCTGACTTTGTCCTTCATACAAGGCTGCCGTCAGTGAAGACTTCCACTTCACTACATCTGGCTGTTGGAGTTATGTTCGGGATTCTTCCAGTATTATGCTTTTATTTTGAAGAGCCGGTTAGAATGCAGGGGTGTCAAACTGGCGGCCCGGGGACCACTTACATTGACGTGACGAACTATAACCTGTGAATTGACCTGTGAAGGGAGGATTTGTTTGTTGTTGACTGCATTGACTGAGGCATGTAGCCTCATGTAGTCTGTGCTGCAGAGAGCGTGGGACTGCCCCTCCCACTGTGTGTGTTTGAGCGCGAGGCAGAGAGAAAGTACGAGTTTCTACCGACAAGAAACGGAAGATGAAAGCATGTAAATATAACAACAACAACAGCTGCAGCCTGACGAGCCCGGCTGTAAGCAAGCCGTCCAGACTGTGCGCCGTGTTCCCCTCCCACACTCTAAAGCTCTGGTGGAGCCTTTCCACGCCTCTCTGACAGTTACCGGCTACGGGCCCAACACGGAGCCCGACGGATTAGCCAGAGCAACCTTCATCACGGTCCTGACCGAGGAAACAGCAGAGTGCGAAGATGCTGAGGGATCGGCTGTGTTAGTGCAGTGCTGCGCTTTTATTTTGTTAAATACAATCACAGTTCGTGCTGCCACGCGTGCACACAGAGGACCGGTGTGTTTATTTGGTGGTTCAATGAACGATCTGTGGTCACGTTTGCAGCTCGTCTTGTTCTACGATACTTGAAATTTTAGGAAACATTTGTGGGTGTTTTGTTTTTTTGTACCACTTGAACACTAACGTGTCCAAAGAGACTACAAACACATTTACTGGTAATAGCTACCTGTAAAAACTGTCCTCCTGCCTTGGCTGCTTCACCCTGCTGACGTGATGGTGCTGGCAGCTCAGGGCCGACACTGCTGCCAGTGCGTTCCCAGCATTGTCTATCAGTTTAACCCTATTTCATAATTACTGTTCATTATGATGCTACTGAAGTGTCCACACTGTGACAGCAGACTAGCATGCAGAACAGTCCCCATCACAGACGTGTAGATTCTCAGTGAGATCTATCAGAAAGCCTTCCAAGCTCAGCTGCAGCACTCTGCAACCACGTGTTCCTTCACTAGAACTACTGCTGATGTGATGTTTGCAGACACAGAAGAACTCTCAGGTGGAGCTTCTGTTTAGGACTTCTCCTCACAAAGCAGCCGTGGCATTGGTGGCACTCTGGCCTCTCCCTGAACGAGACCGTCAGTTCGGATCAGCACGCCACCGTATCTGCATGTGTTTGACTTTCAGAGCGTCTGTCCTCCGGCTGTGTGCCGACATCCTAAAGTGCTGCAGGCCAGATTAAAGGGATTTCACAATTTGAATGAAGAGATGTCATTGTGAATGTTGTGATTTATCAGAAGGTAACCAACCCATAAACCTGGAAACCAGAACGCGGTGCTTACACGTAAGCGAGCTGTGTTTGAGCAATGTGGTGATGTGGCCAAAAGACCACGACAGCAGCATCATATCGGCTTTCTTTGGGATTTCACTTATTCTGAAGGCGCAACCCAAAGGGCTCATCTGCATCTCTGCCTCAAGAGCTACGATTATTTTCACCTCATGACGCTGAGTGATGGAAAAGTAGGACGGATGTTTTTCTCCTCGTGAACAGCCCCATTAGATTTATATGCAATTCTTTTATAAACACTCCTCTGTCCAACTGACCTTCTTCTCCTCATTGGGTGAGTCAGCCTAAATAAGCCCGGCGTGGACTTATGACAAACTAGCTCAATATAACCGACATGAATGTGAGACGTCCATCTTTCATATTCATGTCCGTGTGTCTCAAAATGAACCGTTTACGGTGATATTTACATCGTTTGCATGTAGAATTTCTTAGCCTTCTCTCTCCTCTTATATTTAAAATGACCACACTACGGACAAGCGACTGTTGTTATGCGTTGTCGTTAGCAACAGCGAGCGCAACGGCTCGCTAGTTTATTTCCACATAAACCTTTCACAATAAAGCTGAAGATCCTGTTGAGATTTTTCAAAATAAACGGAATCAGGTGAAATAGTATTTACGGACGAGATGCTAAAAAGAGCCGTCAGCGCGCCGCCCCTCAGCACGCCGCCCCGCAGCACGCCGCCCCGCAGCACGCCGTGTAATGCATACAAAGAAAATCGCGGCCGTTCCAACTCATCTACCACTCGACTGCAGCTACACGACGCCCAGCTGAAAACACTTCATGCAGGTCGAGCTGCCCGAGACTCACAGAAGTTACAGAAAACAAACGTTTTGTGATGAATATCGTTGTCAGCACGACAAACGTCTGACATCAGGGATGTGAGATCATCGTCGCTCAGCCCTCCCATATGGAAAAGAAATAGTAAAAACATGATTACTCATGAAAGTGGCCACTTTCTCATTACTTTCATATATTGTTTTAGTAAGTATCCAAAACATACAAGTTTCATTATATAATTTTTCAAGGGATCTTATATCTGTTTTCACTCTTGTATGCTTTTCATACAAGACAGATACAAACTTTATAAGATTTATATCTTTTCCATATGGGCAGAGACAAACCATCTACTGTGCCTGCTCTCCCTTCTCATTGGTTATGATGTCCCCTCCAAGGCTACAAGGTTAAAATGAGTTCCTAATCTCTCAGCAGCTAAATGCGTCTTTTTCTTTTTGTTTCATTGTTGCAAGTCTCCCTTTTTAAAACCACATTTGCAAACCCTTTGCTTTCCACACAGCTGCTAGCTGCAGGGAAAGCCCCTGCTCCCCTCCTGAGAGGCTGCACTGCAGTCACTCTCCATCACCACGGCCCATCTATTCAAGCCCGTCTCCTTCAGTTTGTGCACCGTGCTTCTGCCGATCAGCGCTTGGACAGCAGCGGACGCCTGGGCTCCTGCTACACGGACACTGATGAAGATGTTTTTGTTTTTTAGTAAGAAGATGAAAACTTTAAAGACAAAAGAGAAGCTTCTGGGTTGGACAGACACTATCACGTGAAGTTCACGAGGCAACGCTCTATAATCATGTTTTTAATGTGAAGCCCTCACAAATCACCGGCGCACACAGCAGAACGAGTCGAGAAAAGGCCACTGTGACGAAGCAATAACAAACTCGGAAAATAAAAGTGAATTTGAAGCTGCAGGCAGTGAAACCCGACCACATCTGGCAGAAATGGCAGAGGCATGAAAACCATAGAGCCAAAAAGAAAGAGGAAGCTGGTTTGAGGCGTGACGGGGCTAAAAAGAAGAGATTCCCTCTGAGTGAGCCACCGCTGCATGTTTGCAGTGAGAGCCTGAAGCAGCATGTACTCACCTCTAGCAGACAACTTCTTGGTGTTGATTATCTTTGCAGCATACTCCTGCCCCGTGGAGATCTTCATGCACCGCCTCACCACAGAGAAGGCCCCCCTACAGGACACAATGAAGCAGGGATCAGCCTCTGCACAACCAGACTCTTCATAATGTGCAAAGACAGCTGTGAAAATGACATTTAAAGTGTTTTCTGTTGCACTGTTACATCTGAAGTCCCGGTCGAGTCTCGGTGTCACGAGTCCAAAGTTTCCAGAGCCATTGTACAATACGCACCACTCGACGGTGCAACTAACCCTGCAACAAGTCAGAGGCTGTCTAACTCCCCACTTGTCCCTTTTCAGCGTGCAGAGTGATGGTTGTGAAGCAGCTTATTTTCAGCTTCTTGTTTCTGTTCCTAAACCAGCAGCAAGTGAAGTAAAGTGAGTGAAACATGCAACGAATGAGCAAGTGTGCAGCTGCCCGTGTCCACAGCTGCACACAGCAGGCTTCATACTCTGCTGCAGACACAGACAGGCTTCATACTCTGCTGCAGACAGACAGGCTTCATACTCTGCTGCAGACAGACAGGCTTCATACTCTGCTGCAGACAGACAGGCTTCATACTCTGCTGCAGACACAGACAGGCTTCTCTGGCTCTGCCTGAAGTCGCCGCCTCGACATCGTTGGTGCACTTTAATCACGTTTAACACGAGCGAGCGAGGCAGCGCTCCTTTTTCTGTGACCCTACAGGAGAAAGCCCGGGTTAGCACCCGGCGCTGTGACGGGCTTCACTGAGCCAAACGCCACAAACAAAGCTCGACTGTGCTGAACATCATTCGTAGTAAAACTCTGCATATGAAACTGTGCAAAGTCCTCATCCATGAACTCTGTTGTAGCAAAGTGGAGAAAGGGTCTGCTTTTTACAAAGCTTGGAATCATTTGTCTTTGTTTCGTTTGCCTTCTCGCGCTTCTTCTTCTCTCTGTGCTGACGTTCACTGTCGCTCTTTTCAACCAATCGCTGCTCTAGCTACACACAGTGTATTTGGGAGGCCTGTACGCGACTGACAGCTGAACATACAGCTTAACCAGAAGAAGTTTAAGTGACTGCGGGTTGCAAACTAAACACAGGTGAGCATCAGGTGGATGTCAGGCAAGTATATGCACATCCTCTCGGAGCTCAGACTAAAGGTCGGGTCAGAGGTCATCAGCTGAAGCACAGGTGGAAGCATCAGCAGATCCCTGCACAGCAGCCACACCTGCTTCCTGCCCATGTAAACTGGAGAAGGCTTCAAACAGGCCTTTCTAAGAAGCGCCTCGTCGTAGGAGCGGCAAAGCATCCAGTTTACATCATTCACACAACTTTGCATCCAGCGGTGCTTCAGTGAAGGCCCGCAATAACTCCAGTCTTTGTTCGGGTCAGAAGAACTAAGTGAAGCAATCATTTGAGTGAACCACAGTGACGTGATGACCGTTCAGGCTGACCCCAGATCAGGCCGAGATCGACCACAGCTCCCCAAAGCCAGCTCGGGTTCAGGTGCATGCGTGATGAAGCGAATGCACAGAGGGGCGGGGCTGTGGACAGAAACACGTCGTTGTTTACGAGTGACCCCACTGACCCCAACGAAACCAACTTCCTGCAGTTTTGACACACTGACTGGTTTTAGACAGAAGCTGTCCTCAGCCTGTTTTCTCCTCAGCACGCAGCATTTAGAGGCCACACTTAAAACACGGAGCTATTTAACGCGCTCGGTACCGACGGGCGGGGTTCATAAAGTCCCGAAACAGCCGCGAAGTATCACAGACGTGGAGTCAAACACGGATCCTACAGTATGTGTGCGGCTGTTAGCCGACAGTAAGACTACAGGTACAGTGAAGTGCCCACAGCGCCGACTGCACCTTCAAGGTGGGGTCAGGCAGGCGGAGGTGGCTCCGTGGGCAGCGACTGAAAGCAGCAGTAACTTCAGAGACACAAAGAGTCACCAACTCACTTCCCCAGCTCCTCGTACAGCTGGTACTCGTCGGTAAACCTGGTGCAGGTTGTTGAAGCCATGCCGAGGTGATCGACTCGGGAACTGGAAGCTCGCTCGGTAAACAGTCTCCACGAATCCCTCCGAGTCCCAAAGAGCCACTTGTCGCGCCGGGGAAAGAAATGAAAGCGCAGCCGGGAGGTCCTGTGGGCGGAAGTCCTGCAAGCAGCGCAGCCTCCGTCTGTCCCGGTCCCGCTCGCAAACCTCGGCTCAGTCCTGGACGTCGCGACCTACTGCTGCGCTCGTCTCTGCCGCTTGGATTAGTTACCACGGTCAAGACGAGGCCACACACACGGACACACTTCCGGTGGTGAAACCACAATAAAGCCAACTTCGGACCCGCGCTCTCACGTCCTCGTGTGACGTGGGTATTTTTGGCAAAATTAATAGCAAATATTTAATTTGAGCTTTATCTGATATTTATGTCACACCAACTAATCCTAATCTCAGCGTGATTTTTCCCTCTTTTTTATTTTTCTTAAACGAAGGTTCACGCGGTTCATGATACATATTTGATCAAATAAATTTGATGTTTTTTCAATATTTCAATTATTCCAACTATTTCACGTCACGTTTGAGCACCACCGTTTTACTTCTTTTGCTTTGTTTTATTTTGTAGGAAACTAGCACAACTTCCGCTTTTTTCCGCGGGCCTGATGAAGCACAATTTCACCTCCGCGCTTCCTTATTGGGAATCCTGCACAAGGGCTCCCTCTACAGGCAGCAAGTCTGCCCTGCTGACATCCAGGCTGTTGGTCCGTAAAACACACGGTTCGCTTTCGTTTAACAGAACAAAACAACTATTTCTGATGGTAAATAAAAGTCACAAAAATCATATCTATCGGTTATAGGTTGGTTAATTCACCCTTATTTCCACTGAAAGGGCCCCAACAACTGGTTCTGAAGGCAGGAATTAACTTAAGATAAATGGGAGATATTTGATAGGGTGGAGGAGCTGTGTTTCCACATGAAAACTGCACAAAGGTATGAAATAAAATATAGAGTGATGTACTAAAACACATCCAAAACACACAGTCTGCACTCCCATCACTTTCTTGCAGCAACCTTCTGCACCAGATGCAGACGAGACAACGTGAGTGAACGATTTCCAAGTACAGCGAGTTACAGCAATCTAATCATGAGGAGATTGTTGTGGTGCTAACAGTCTTTGTGTCACTGAGGGAAAGGATGGAGTTCATTAATGTTCTTAACCTTTAAAAACCAGTTCAACACATGTAACATGTCCAACCTGAGTAGAAATGATACCAAGATTCAATCCACGGGCTTGAAATGATACTTCTACTCACTGTGGTTTGTAAGGACCAAAAGGAATCTGTCTTTACTTTGAAAGAGTCACAGAGTTCCACTTCCACAGGCCAGCCACGACTCCAGAGTTACAGTAAGCACATGAAAAGAAAGGTGCATTTGTCTGTTGTCAGTTTGGAAGTGTTAGCAGACTTTAAGCTTACAGAAGATTTAAGCCAAACTGAGATAAATCAGTGGCCACCTAGTACAGGAAGAGAAGCTTCCTATCTGTACAGAAAGGCCTCTGAGGAAAAGGTCTGTACTTTGGCAAATTGATCCTTGAGGTACTTTAAAGAGCTGAACTGGCACCATCTCCAGTCTAATCTGAAATCAGGAGGCCGTTAGAAAGACTGATGTAAATGTTTCTGTTGTGTTATAGCTGATTGGCTGTGTGGACACCGCTTTCTCGAGACATATTTATTTAAGACTTGTCAAGGTTTGCACTGTTACGTGTACACAAAAGGAAAAGCCCTCGCTCTGTTATTTGCTTTATCTGCAGCAGCAGAGTGTTTCAGGTCAACACTGCCATGACTCACAGTCAACAGGATCAATAAGTCACCACCTTTGAAGTTCTTTTTGATACCACAAAGAGCCTTGGAAAGCCCTTCCCTACTGTTCGAACCAGCTGAAGGGACATGGAGCCACGTACAGGAGACTGAAGAGCCCTGTGGGGCCCAGAAGGTCAGCCTGCTGTTAGAACCAGCTCCCTGTTTTCAGACACTGATTTTATCTCTTGTGTGCAAAAGTCACTGAGTTCAGGCTACAAATAAAAGCAACCAAATATATTCAAAATGACTCAAGTTCAGGGGATACACATGCATCTTATGTATATAAAAGAAATATAAACTAATATAAGATAAGAAAATGAAATGTCGCGATTGAATACGGGTAAAACGCGCCGTGCCTTTGTTTCATACGCACATGGTGGAAAAAGCACGGCGGCGACGGAGGACGAGAAGAGCGAAAGCGGATCTTTGAATGAAACAGATGAGCCTGAACTGGTTTGTAAAAACGCTGCAGCTTCAGTGGTGTGGAACTGGTTTGGCTTTCGACCGTCGGATACACAACAAAGAACATTTTTTGCAGAACATGCAAGCGGGCCGTCGTTATTACCGTGTTTTTCAGACTATAAGGTCTCAAGCCTTTCATTTCCCCCAATATCAACTGTGCGCCTTATGTATGAATTCTGGTTGTGTTTACTGACCTCGAACGGATTTTATGTGGAACAGGCGCTCGAAAATCTGCCATAAAATGTTTTAGTAGGACTTCGGTAAGCTATGAAGCCGCTTGATTGTCGGAGCATGAATTATATCGTCAGTCACGTCGATATCAAAGATATATCCTGATAAATGTTTTTGCCCATACCGCCCTGCCCGCCAGATAGATAGATAGAGTCATATTTGTATTCCTATGCTGAACTGATATCATACACAGATGCACACAATTGTCAAACTATGTTTTCATGTAATGTCACTTTCTCAGTTTTTCTCTGCCATATATGTGGACAGACAGACAGATTCATTAACCTTTATGTAACCAGGAAGAGCCATTGAGACTAAAAACCTCTGGCCAAGATAGGCAGCAGCAGCTGTCTCAGAAATGACTCAATTAAACACAGGCAGCAACAACACACATGCAAACATAAATGAAAAAATTAAATAAAATTCAGTAAAATTCAATAAAGTTCAAATAAAAATAAACAGTTAAAATAAATCAGTCTAACTGAAACAGTTGCATGTTATGGCCTCAAGGATTCGTAGTTTAGATTTAAAAGCACTTATTGAAATGAATTCAGGACGAAGAGAATACCGACCAGCATGTTTCATTGCAAGCAGGGAACATAGATAAGAAGGCAGCAACCCAAGTATCGCCTTAGATATAAACTGAGTTCCTCCGACTTACCAAAGCAGGCCGTCCTACCTGAGAGCATACGAGATACTGACATTCACGGTTAGTGATGAACCTCAGAGAAGGATACACAGTATGAACCATTCAAAGACACTGAGCAGAAGCATTCATATATAGAATATCTCCATAATCCAGCACAGGCAAACATGCTGCAGCAACCAGCTGCTTCTTTGTATTAAA